CTTGGTGATAAATATATATATATATATTCTAGGGTAAATATATAAATATAGGTTTCACTCTAAGATATAATGGTGGTATAATTTATTGCTGATATTTGGAGATTATTAGCTAAACTAGGGCTGGTCAATTAATCAAAAATGAGTGAAAAACAACCTCTAATTAACATAATCCTGCAACTTGCAGACTTTTTTTGGCATAATATCTGTTGGGTGAGCTATCAGTATATTATATACACATCTAAAAGTGCATGCAATAGCACAGTATACTCTTTTGCCTTTGTGTTGCTGCTCTTTGCCCAACTATAACCTTGTATTTAGTACTTGTGACAAAAGGGTGGGCTGGATCAAGGGTCAAGATAAGAGCAAGCATGTGTTACAATGAAAGACATTATAATCATGAAGGCCTGTGAAAAACCTCTAGTAATAATTTCCAGGGTGAGGCAAACAACACCCACATAAAAATGACTTTACGGGTCAAGCTGTGAATCTGAGTTGCTACCCACAGCCTACAGCCTTCTGTGTATCTATATACACTTTGCTTGCAACAGCTAAGCAAAAAGAAAACAGCTGTGGTAATTCCAGCTAAATTGACTGAGCACCTAACCTGAAGTCAGCAGATGGCTGATCGAGAGAAGAAACCTCCCTTCTCAGCTCATCGTCCATCAAGACAGCCACAGTGCCATCGCTAATCCCCTTCAGGACAAGCCCTCACTGGCAGAGGTCCCTAAACCCAGCACTGAGAGAGATAACGCTGAGAGTAATGCTCATATTCAGACTTTTAACATATTTGACAAATGTTTTGAGATGAATCTTTGAATTTAAAAAAATTGAATCTAGTTAAACCACTGACTGCACCCACTAATAAACAGTTATAGCAGTAGCTGAGGCTGAGAGGCTGGGACACACAGCTCACAGAGGCAATAAAGCTATTATAATATCCTTAGCAGCAGATTACTGTAATTTGTTTCAAAACAGCACTGCTTTTCAGTCGCAACTTACTTAAAAGACATGATGCTTGTTTTGAGCTTCAGTGTTATTTGCACAAGGTCATTATTACCTCGTATGTGTATCGCTAACTAACTCTGAAAACATATGTAAACAGAACAGCTTTAAAGCAGGATTCAGGTTTCAGCGAGGTCTGTGTGGAGGGCGGGGTGTAACAGCATCACAATATGAAAAACTCCTCACTCAAACTGTTTGGACAACTGGCTGGAATGTCCACGAGCAACTAGCTGTCAGCTTCAAAGTGATGCGCGACAAGCAAATTAATTCCAGTGTAGGCACAGCTTAAGTTGTACCTGTGTGCCCATTTTGGTCGCCAAACTCCTAAAGAATAACCAAAAGGAGAGAAGAGGAGACATCCTCCTGCACTGTTACAAACTAAGCACTTATCTCTTTGCTGAAAAGCAGACAGTTTATCCATTCTCCCTGTTTTGTCTTTCACTGTATGTCAGGTGCTGTTGCGTTAGTTTGTGTACAAGCTGAGGCTCGTTTGATCTGTGCAAAGGGGAAAAAAATTACACTTGTTGCATCTTAGTTGTGGTCCATTATTTTGAAAACTGTAGTGTTTAGTCCCTTTGCTTTTAGACAGAAATCTGACTCCATTGAGGCGCCAGAGCTCATCACACCCACCCATCTGTGTTTCTACCAGATGTATCACAGTGTGTTTTGGAACAATCCCATGATCAGTTCTCTGCTTTGCATCCATTTCTTTTACAAAAGCATTTTTAGGCTGCAGGGAGAAGTAAAAGTGAGACACAGGAACAGCACAGCTCCTACTGTGTCTTACAGTCAGATGAAGGATGGAAAATAACAGTCTAAATGTAAAGTAAAAATGTCCAACTATATCTCAGAATTGCTACATTTGGTAAAAACAATAATCTCATAATTTTAGAGGGAATTAATATGATTGTCAAAAAGATCACATTGTACCCAGTATTTACTGGGTACAATTTAATTTTCTTTAATTAATTTTTTTTAAATGTTTCAAATGTTTAAAAAGGGAAAACAAGGAACACCATAAATGATAAAATAATAATGATAATAATAATAATAATGAAGACATCCAACCACCTCTGGCCAGGTTACCGTAATAAATCCAACTTTAGCCTTGATAAGATATATTTTGCTGCTGCAGACAAGTATAGAAGATGGAGAGAAGGACTTACAACAAACTGCACCACAAAAGTCTATATTAGAGCATTAATATGATGGAGAGGAATATCTATTATACTGCATTAGGTATGCAGTGTGACAAATTTCACCAATGGTAAATGAACAAGTTCCTTTATAGTGCCTTTCTACTCTATCTGAGCAATCAAAGCGCTTTACACAACTTGCCTCATACATCCATTCGCACAAGCACTTTTCTCTACGCTCTTCTATCTAACATTCACACACATTCATACTCAGATGGATGCATCAGAGAGCAACTTGGGGTTATTATCTTGCCCACAGATATTTGCCATGCAGACTGGAGCAGACAGGGATCGAACCACCAACCAGTTTGTAGGTGACCTGCTCTACCACCTTAGCTTCAGCCACCCAAGCAATTTTCAAACTTTTTGAAACTTGAATTCCAGCAGAAATGACCATTTTAATAAGGTTTATAGCAATATGTTTAAGTATTTTAGCATGAAACCTGAGTGCCTCTGATGATCCCCTGATTTACTATCCAGCACCAATGGCAACTATCTAATCGAGTATTATCATAGGGAGTTTCAAAGCAGGTCACTAAGAATTCAGATTGATTTGTTCATATCGATAAGCAGTTGTGTAAATGTTAGCTAATTCAGGTCAACATCAGAGAGCTCCCTGCTGCTCCAGGGATCTGCGTAGCTGCTGTCAGACAGTGGAGGCTCTGACAAAAATGACAAACAACTCCATCACTGATATTAAATTGTGAGTCCTGATCCCAGCAAACACAATTTTCAGTCCACTGGTGCAACAGATACACACTTTGTTGAACAGCAATATCACACTCGTGCTCTTGTTGTGCTGGTGGAAAGCATAAAAGTGTGCAAATTCTCTCATCAGGTCTAGTACAGCCTGAGGTTTTACTTAGCACACAAGCAAATGAGTAATGAGAGTATTTTTTTTTTCACTACACAAAACCAGAGGATATGCTGCAAAGAATACTCAACACTAATACATTTGTATAACCTAAATGTGCTTAAAAAAAGCATATACCAAATTAAATATTGCACATTAAAACATACCGTTAACATGGTAATTAATTTGATCAATTTAATTCTACTTTTTATATACTCAGATTTACACCTCTGTTAATATACATATTTCTATGCATTCATACATTTGTTTGTCTTCTTTATATATTTTTGTGTCCTTATATAGAGTAGATTGCTTGTTGAACACTTATTCAGTATTTTAGCTAACACTTTACATATGTACAACTTCAGTTTGAAATTTGTAACTGCACATGTAGTTTAACGTGGAGTTTCTAAAAATTACATGAATACTTTCTTTCTCTGATGTCAGTTTAAATGCTGGATTGCTTTCACCTTTTTTTAAATACAAGAAATGAAAGAGTTGTCTCGACATGGACTGCCACATTCAGTCAAAGGAGTGTGCTGTTGCTTTATTGTTGCTGTTGTCTTTAAAATATTAATAGAGATGTTGCTGACAAAAGCTGTCCCGCTGTTTGCATCTTTTTGCTTTCACTCTGTGTGAACCCTCGCTCTCCCCTCCTCTCTAAATTAACCCCATGTTCATCTCATCAATGCAGGCAACGTGAACAACTTTGCAACTTTCACCTAATTTTGCAACTTTTCAAACCCCTTTCGCTTAAAAAAACCCATCTACTATTTTCAATCATCCCCCACGAGCACATGGTCGTTTTTAATGCCGGCAAACATCAATCGGCAGCTGAGTTGAAAGGGCACTTGAATTTTTCTCAGGGTGGTATTTATACACATATATATAGCATCTACAGATGGCATCACAGAATTTAACCATATACTAAGTTGTCATAGAAATTTGCAGTTAAAATAAGTTAATTGCAGTTCATTTAAATGCAACTGATTTCAGCATTGCAGGGTAGCTGCTTTGAAATGACTGGTTAACAGTTTAGCCTACATGGGCTGCTTGTATGTAACCATTTCATACTTCATAGCAAAAACAGAAAAATGTAAATGAACATCCACAGTTTTGTATTTTGCTCCAAAGCTGCATTTTCATAACAGATGCAGCACTTGCTACAGGCCACCCTCGCTGGTCGTTTAGAAAACAGCAGAGAACATTACTCATTCACTTTCCCCTGCTGCACTGCCTCAGCCAGTCTAACAGTCGCTGGTTTTTCATGAACAGAAATACACACCAGCACAAAGACAGACAATATCACTTTTAATATTCTCTACAAAGCAATGCTCGCTGCCTGTGTAGTGTGGAAAGTGTATAACAGGCTTTTTCCTGACAGCCACAGCTTTGTTCCCAGCACTCGTCACTGAACAGCCAACCATCCTGATGAAAGCCCAGAGCAGATAACGCCATGAACAGAGGCAGCTTCAGCTTCACAGTCTGTTTGGCCTCTACTCTCCCCAGACGTGGATAAGGGAGAACCCTGTCATTTAAAACAATGCAACTATAAAGAGAGCTTGCTTGTCGGCCAATTCAAATCTAAGCAGATAAGACTCAAAGAAAGCCCCGTAAACCCCACAAAGCAAGAGGCAGGAGCTGCTGGGGTCTGCATTTAGGAGATTAGCTCGTGTTGTGCCGCAGTTTGAATCCACTTAGTTTCAAATTGTCCCCAAACTAAATGCCAGAGGGAGGGCCACGCTTTGTGGTCTGCTGCTGAACTTGATCCTGTGATTATCACAAAGAGACTCCACTTGGTTTAGTAAGCAACAACACTGATGGCAGGAACTCCGCCATTGCTATCTCAGTTGGATTTCACAGTGTAAACAATATATATTCCCAGGCTCTGAGCAAAGAACAAACACAATAGTCATACAAAAGCAACCCCCCACCCTTTCCATACTTACTGCTTTTATTGCACTTGACTTTAGAGAGAAGCTTGTGAGCCAGCAGGAGATCTCCACTCTTCACGGCCACCAGCAGATCCTGTTCTTTTCCCATGATTACAGACCTAACCACAGACACACAAACTGATCGCAGGCAGCCGCCAAGGCTTTTTTGTCTTGTCTTTTCAGCTACAGGTAGCTGCTAAATCCCAGCAATGAGGTGAGGCGGGTGAATGCAGGGCTGAGCAGCATCTAGAGGGAACAGCGCATCAGGTGAGGTGGTCAAGGACGTCTTCTTCCTCTTGTCACTAATGTTTATTTCCATTATCTCTGATCGCTGTTTGGCTTCCTGATGATGACCTTGATTTGAAGTTACAGTAAGCTCTGTAGCAGTTTTACTTGCTCGCAGGACTGAGCATAATGTTCACAGTCTGTTTTTGACAAACTGGAAGCAGCTGCAACCCAACCTGCCATGACACTGCCAAGTAGAAGCAAAGGAAAGAAAGAACAGAATGAAATCACTTTGAGTTCACGGTAACTTTAAAAAAAATACAGCCAGTGAAAAGAGCATTACCACACAGTCCAAAAAAATGCACCGTTTCATATTAAAAACGGTCAATTATCAACAGCTTTCTGACATTGTTCTGTAGAAACCATCAGCAGTCGGGCCGATTCCCCCAGCCAGTGACACTGAACCACTGAAGAAGAGGATGAGCAGACTCATATCATGGATGTTTTATAACACAGATGTTTACGGTAGTGCCACAGAGTATGCATTACATCTAAACAGACTGTCAAAGTCAAGCAGTGTCTACACCGGAGTTATATCCATGTTTTCGTTTTCCACCTATTATCTATTTCCAGGTTGTAGATGCAGCATTCTGAGCAGAGAAGCCCAGACTTCTCTCTCCCAGGTACCTGCTCCAGCTTCTATGGGGCCATGCTAGCTGAGAGACATAATCTTTTCCAGTCTAACCAGGTCTACCTCAGGGTCTCCTCCCAGTTCAACATGCCTGAAACACCTTACCAAGCAAGGAGCCTAGGTCATGGGAGGGCTTGCTGTAGCTGGAGGCTGCTGTAGGTTTGTTAAAGGCTTGTTGGAGATGTAGGTTATTGTAGGTGGAGGGCTTGGCAAACCTTGTAGGGGGTGATGAACTCCACAGTAAACCAGTCCAAGGCAAGGTGATGCATAGGAATCTTTTGAGTCATGCTTAAAGTTTTGCCTTTCATTACATGCGTGAATTAGGTAAAACTGGAAAACCAGCTATTCACCCCAAACAGCCAGTAATACAAGGATGAGTAGAACAGGTAGCTGGAAATGAGTTAAAGCAACATATTTTCCCAATTTAGCATGAGAACCTACCAACACTTACTTTTCTCCAAGCCCTTTCCTCTCCTGTCTCTATAGAAATTCTGATCTGAACGATACAATCTGAGCTGCCCTCAAACAGCATCAGTAATATTGTCCTCCTTTTCCAACTGCTCATCACATCAAGAGAGAATTCATGGTCTCTGGGAAATCTAGCTGATGAATTTTTTCCCCCTTAGTTGAAATATTATGACTTGTGTGAAAATGTATTTACCTCTTTGGACACTATAAAAGTCCAGTGATGTGGCACAACAGATAAACATCAATGAAAACTAAAAGAAAAGTGCTAAAAGTGCTCAGCTTATACAGGTATCATGATAAGTTAGTAAGCATTTTGTGAAACCTAATAAACAATGGCACCATTATTTGATATCCTTTAATATAAAACAATTATCAAGCTCTAATTGAAGAAAGTTGTCTAATTCAACAGGAAAATAAAATGCAATCCCTTCCAAGAAATCAATAAGCAAATTTTCAGTAGTTAAATACAGTCAAGAATAAGCAAGTGACTTAAACTTGACACAGCATTTGTTTGTTTTCTTTGATCCAGGAAGCCAGGTCCCTCTGGAGTGTGCAACTAATCTCCAACTCTTCCCGTGCAGCAACATGGTCTCCGTTCACTGATAACATCCCCCTGACCTTTAAGAGGAAGCATCTTTTCAGTGAAGCAATGCCAGGCATTCTGCCAGCTTACGTTATTGGGAGAAAAAGTTGTGTTTTTCTCTCTGAGAAAAAGCAGCAGGCAGAGCCACTTCAGAACCAATTTCTTCAAAATCACAGATGTGCGGGTTAGCAAGTGCAGACTAGGGGGGCACAAAGTGACCATACAATTGATCTCAGGGAAACATAGAGACAGCCTCCCTGGGTTTCTACACTTACCACTGAGGCAGATTAAACAGGGTTTTTCACAGAGTCAAACAGTGTCCAATTAGATTCTGTCTGTATGCAAAACAAAACAATCTGAGTCCGGAGGAGGCTGTCTTGGATGAAATAGTGCTCTGCAGGCACGATCTCCACCTAGTTCAGCTATTCTGCTGCAGACTTCTAGGTGATGATGCAGCAGGGTAGCCCAGCAATAGATGCCAATGCACATGGTTTAAAACTAGCCATGCACCTCTACACGCAGAAACAACTGCACAGCCCATCACTAACATGAGCAATGCAGAATGTAAACAAGAAAGCCAAAATTGGCATTTTGGCCTAAAGTGGATAGAGAGCTTACTTCAGTAGGGTTACACTGTAGGTGATCGTGGATGACCAAAGTGATAAGTGACAAATCCTTGAGTTGCACTACAGTGTACGAGAAATTCTTCAGTCTAATATAGTCTAATATACTACATGTATATGTTGTAGACCTAATTTTCTCTGCAATATTCAGCTCAATAGCAAGCAGACCAAACCTCTATTCTTCACTGGGACAATTTCATTTACATCCCACTGCAGCAAACGGACAAATGCAATATACAAAAAATTGAGAACTTTATGAAATCAAAACATCGGCAATAGCATCACATCAACATCACAAATCTATAACACCCTCTTCCACCACCGTGAAGCACAGATGGATGGAAAAAGCCCTGAAAGTTGGTGATTTATGAAAACAAGGTCCTTGCAGACCAGGGAAATTTACTGGAAAACGCCAATAGCTCGTTCAAAGTTATCGTACATTTTCAGCTATTTGTCTGTAAGTGAAAAAAACATGATCATGCGACTTGTGGACGCATTTCATTGGGACTGCCGTCTGCTCTCATCGTTCAAATCTAGTTCGCCAAGTTACCAATCTCAACTATCAAGATGTCCCAACTACCGTCCTTCCTACTATAATCCTGTCGTATTTCTATTAACCGAGTCCGTCTCTTTTTAGTCTGTTCACAATGAACAGGTTTAAAGAAGGGAAAAAGGTTCTCACCTGCTCAACTACGGCGGTGTAATAGGATAGCTCACAACCGAGCAAGAAGAGCGCTCAGGGTAGCGCGAGACGGACTTACAGCGTTAAGAGACCCGCGAACACTGACACAACTTCTGGTAGAAACTTTCAAAGTAAAGTTGCGCAACAAGTCTTGGATTCTTGCTTGTCAAACTTCCTTTGTTTTTTGCTTGTTTTCAATATCAGATGGCACAGAGTTATGTTCGGACCGGAAAATTCAACGTCAGTTTCTGACGCCACTGAGCAATAACCCTTGAATTGTCTGACTTCCACTTCTATATGATTTTATTATGAAGGGAAAATTACACAACTCCATCTAGCGTCCTTCTTAGGTTTGGTTAACTTAACGGAGGTGAGTAACCAGCCCACTCTATGACCATCATATCGAAACAAAAGTTGTTTTTTATTAATAATTATGAAAAATAAATATTATTACTATTATTACAAAGCAAAGTTCTCGCTATTAAGGAGCCATTTCCCCCATTTATATACTTTAATTGCTTATTTTAGCCATAGTTGTTTTTGTTTGTTTTGTTTTTCTTGACGAATTTAAATTTGACTGTTTGTGTGATGGCAGTGTGAGTTAAATCCTCAGACCATTTTTAGTCAGTATTAAGTAAGTCTTGTTAGAAGCTTATTTCCCTCGGTGGACCCTGCTGGTGAGAAGAATGAGCGAGAGCTAGCAGAGCGGTGATGTAGTAGCGACATCTGCTGATGAAACACTGCTACTAACATTACTCCTAGTCAAATCCAAGGCAGCGCGATTTTCTGTTACCCCGCGTTTACAGTCTTGTATAGTATTGTATTGTCCATTTCGGCCATTAAAAAGAAAAACCAAATCCAGAAATGTTAAAAACCAAAAAAGTTAGTCATGATTTATAGAAATTATCATGATTTGACTTGCATGTTAAAAGGATCAGCTAAAATGATCAGCGTTTTTAAAAATAAAACTATCATTATGAAATCACAAAGGTAAATGGTGAGAGTTTTGAAAAACTGAAAAGAAAATGAAGGTATGACAAATTGCTTAAAATTATGAGGGGAAAATCTAAGTGATGAGACAAAACATGCAGATGGGAAGATAGAATGGCAAATTGTGAGATGAAAAGAGGAGCTAGAAAGTTATAAGGTCAAAATAAGACGAGAAAAATTATCACATAAGAAGTCAAAGGCATCAAGTGGTCTTCAGACAACAGGTTCGGTCAACCACGCCCACTTTGTCTCTGCTCATTAGCCCCCGGAAATAAATAGCTGTAGTAGTAGACTTTGAAATTCATTTACTTCTGTAGGTGCAGGTAACGCCTCATCTCTTCGCGCGCCGTCGGGGTATGTAACACATGCTGCGTTTTCAAAGTCCGTGTAATTCCTTGGCATTCACTGCTGTAGAAATGTCTCCCAGAGAGCCTGTTGGTTGCGTTTGTCCATGTCGAGGAAAGGTGTGCACACTTCCCTTTCTGTTAATTTAAGTGTGACATTGTACTATACTTTAATGTTATATAGAATATAGTCTTTAATAAAAATTAAAATATAACATTTTTTCACAACAGAGAAGGCTTCCACTGCTACTTCTCTTGGGTTCTAGTTACATTTGTATTTATAAGATTTTCGTTTTTATCTAAACGATATAAATGTAAATGAGTGACAGCTTCCAGCAGTTTTTAGCTTTGGAAAGGAGACATTTGAAGATCAAATTCAAAAGGGTTGCTTTTGAGCTTTGTTTTTAAAAGACCTGAGTGAATTCATCTGGGATATCTTTCACAATGTCACTATTTGAACTATTCTTAGTGGAATTTGTTTTTGTGTGCACGGCCTTGTTAGGATTATCATGCAGTATTCCCTTTGGGAAAGAAACAGGCTAGAGATGAACATAAACTCTTTATTTCCAAGGTCAGTCACTAGGAACCATGCAGACTGATTTGAGGAATGTGACTCATCTTGCTGGCTGTTCTAACCATGCAAAGCATGAAAAGTTCTCCTGAGCAGCAAAACAGGACATGGTGCAGTTGTGTTTCAATTATTTGAAACCTAAAGTAAGAAAAACTCATTCAAACAATGTCTAGACAGACTTTTATACAGAATTCTGTGAGATGCTTCTCTCAGCAAAACAAATGAAATTAAAGTAAAGCTTCTCACAACTTTGAGCCACTGCAGAAGATTGACAAACTGATGCTAAATGACCCAAATTATTTTTTTTTTTACATTGTTAGCATTTTAGAGGTAAGAAGAGTGTTTTCTTGCAGAAATATTTGGCACATATTTTATGAATTATGACATGATGCCCAAGTTGATTCAATCAGTTAATCAAAGTTTCTCCACGGCTGTCTGTTACCCACAGCAAGACTTCTCGTGTATTGTATATTGTTGAAACTCTAATAGAGTTTGAGACGCCACAAGAGGGAACGTGAGACTCATTTTAGTTCAGTGGATGAATTGTTGGCATTAAAGTTTTAATTCTAAAAAATGAAATTGTCCCATATTGCTTTAGATTCTTTCAGTGCCCCATTTTGCTTTTGCAGTCTTATCTGAAACTGAGGCCTTGCAACATTGCATTGTCTTCATATTTCGTATAATCAATGCCAACTAAAAAAAAGACAGAAATAGCCACTGTGTTGTTGTGCATTTGATTCTGATCCAGAAGTAACTGTATTTGGACAAAATTGTGTACTATTTAGATGCCTGCTAGCTTGGTTGGAAAAATTCACATATTTGCTCATTGGTGAAAGTAACCGACAAAAATAATTTATATATATATATATAGATATAGATATAGATATAGATATAGATATATATATATAGATATAGATATAGATATATCTATATCTATATATCTATAGATATATATTTAGACCTTGCTAGATTTCTAGAGGAAACATTCCTAGAGTCGAACAGCCTTTATATCAGACCATAAACATGCTCCTGTTTATGGGCGGAGGGTGACTCTGTCAAAAGACTGCAGGATGCCAGGAGTCTGTGGAAAACTGGCCCCGAGTTCCCTTGCTCTGACCTCTTTAAACATTCCCATTTGAGACTGGTTTCTACTTCCAGGCTGTTGAATAAAATGCAGTGCATTTACACATTTCTAGTCTTGTAGTACAGAAGCATATCCAGGGTTTGTTCATTGGTCAGCCATTTGTTGTGCTCTTGTTTCTCGGTCAGATCAAGCCTTCCATCACGCCTGGCTGCACAGTGCCAAGACTACAGCGAACACTCGCTCAAAGCTTAAAAATTGAACTTCACTAACAGGTGATGTCATGTAGCGACCTCAATCTTTAAAATATTCACTTCCAATAAGCCGTGGTTAGGGGAGGAAACTACTGGAAAACTTTTACATATTGCAGGAAATGATTCACGGGCGCGTTAAATAAATGCTGAGTTTTAAATAATGAGGTGATAGGTGCTGGAAACGGGTTTTTTAGGTTTGGCACGTCTAATGGACACGCCTAAGCATAGGGTGGCGGTAAAGCGCGCATAAGCGGTTTAAACGCCTCCAATAAAGCCAAAAGAAGACAAAGCATTGACTTTTTGTTGTCATATTGGGCAGACACCCTACAGATGGCACTGAGTTAAGTGTAATAAGCTGACAGTGGGATTAAGTACATGGTAACAGGCCTTGTTGAATCCTCCGCTTGCCCCCGCAGGTTAGTTTGCCGTCGTGTAACCGGACACATGCCTCTGCGTGCTGCTTTGCAAGTGGCTGCTGTTCGCCTCTTTAACACCATCTAATATTAACCGCGGCACTCTGGCCACTTTGCCTCTTCTCTCTCGGTTTCTGTCATCTCTTCTGCTCAAGACTTTATTCATTATGTGTCCTCTGCAGCTGAGGAAGTTGCTCTTTGTAGGGTGGGTCGTAGGTTACGTCGCCTTTCTGCTCTCAATCAAGAGGATGTGGACCGGGAAGTACATCCGAAATCCGGTTGTCCGCTCTCTCCTGGTGAACATGCTGAGCGACCTGGATACGATAGACGTTACAAAGGTAGGTTACCTGCGAATGGTCCTTGTCGCGACTGCGGGGGTTCTGTAAAGGGTAAAACGAGGCTTTGTGAAATACTGAAAAGTTGGAATCAATTGTGCAGATGTTGGACTAAAAAGTGATCGTTTGCCAAAGTGATTTCCGGCATTTGCCCAAAAATTATTCCCCGTATTTAAGCTGCTGATCTATAATATGTGAACAGGATGTCAAAGAAGTTTCTCGTGGGTATGACAGGGTAATTTTGAGCCACGAACTACATTCCTGTCACAATGTAGACATATGTGCGTTTTTGGCAAAGTGACTTTTATATATAGCGCTTATGTATCAGCTCAAGTGTCACTGACATCAAAAATGTCTGTTTTTGTTTTGTAAAGGGAGATCTGGCTATTTCAACACATACAACAGTTTAATAAAAATATGAACTGCATTGATTTAAAATGTAGGTGCACTAACAGTCATAAATATACTTGCAAAACGGGTCATTTCTTCATTTTATATACAACTTCTTCATACATCTTGTTATGCCCAGCATATTCACCAGTATAGGCAAATGTATAAAGTATACATTGAAAACATCAGAAATCACTTGGCACAACACCGGGGTTGTATCGGTGGATGACTTGCAAGTGTTGCGCAATTATAAACGGGGCGAATAATATGGTTGTGGTGCTTGAAAGAAAAAAAACTGGCTGTTGATGATAATCTTACTGTAATGAACAATGTGCTTCAGAACATGCTGTAGCATGTTCTGAAGCACATTGTTCTGAAGCAGAACATGCTGTAGCATGTTCTGAAGCAGAACATGTTCCTTCATTTAACATGCACAGGGCCCCCCCACTTACTGCACATCTTGCAAATAAAATGTAGTGCAACACTACTGGAACAACAAGATCTCCAGAAAATCAGCCCAAAGCAAGGTTAGCATGTTCACTCAGCAGGGTTGGTGTTGAATGAGAACTCAGAATGTGTATGACGGTGACTCAATGCTCACTTGATTGTATTCAGCAACTGTATGTTTTCTGTACTTTTCAGCTGTGCCTTATTATTTCATATTTTCTCTAAAACTTGTTTAGTGGTACAGGTGCAACCCTGACCAACTGGAAGAATCACTGCAGCCACTGTTTATCCAAAACCAGCTGGATGCGGACACCAGGGCTTTTGTGGAACAGAGTGAAGAGAAGTCTACGTATCTCTTCACCCAAATCTATTATTCTCTCGTCTCAACTGTCCTCAGCCCGCTGGTATCGCGTACCTCCATTAATGGGTGAGTTCTTTACACACTAGTCTTCCTTTCACCTGTAGTCCATCTTTGCCTGACTTGCGCTCCCTCTTAGGTTTCTGGGTCGCGGCTCTATGTTCGTGTTTTCCAAGAACCAGTTCCAGCAGCTGATGCGGATCGAGCCAGACTGGGTGACTGACAGACTATTGGACCTCGGCGCGGGGGATGGTGGTGTTACAAAGGTGATGGCACCACATTTCACGGAGGTCTATGTAACTGAAGTGTCATTGACCATGAAAAGGCGTCTCCGCAAGAAGAAATTCAAGTAAGTGTGGGATTTTTGTTTTGTTAAACTAAATGAAAGTTCTGGGTGATCTTGGATGACCTCTTGTAACTGAATGCTTATTTCTCCTGCTAAATTCCTGTTGATATCAGACTGCTGGGTATAGATGCGTGGCAGGAGACAGGCTTTAAGTATGACGTGATCAGCTGTTTGAACCTTCTCGACCGCTGCGACGATCCCCTGCATCTCCTGAAGGACATCCGACAATCACTGGTTCCAGGGACGGGAAGACTCATCGTGGCTGCTGTGATTCCTTTCCAACCTTGGCTAGAAATCGGTCAGTTGAAAATAAATGCTGCTTGTATCTTATGCTCAGTAACCATTTTCTGTCCAGATAAAGCAGCCTCTTTTTGTCTCTTCCCCAGGAGGGAGATGGGAGCGTCCCAGGGAATACATAAAAATTCAAGGCAAGACTTGGGAGGAGCAAGTAAACAGTCTTACAAATGAGGTTTTCCGAAAGGTGGGGTTTGAGGTGGAGTCCTTCACCCGATTGCCATACCTCTGCGAAGGGGACATAGCAAGAGATTACTACCTTCTTGATGATGCAGTTTTTGTTCTAAAGTCCTCAGATGATCAAGTGGCTGCTCCATGAGTACTACAAGCACAGAGTATGTAGTTATATTTTCATGAGCATTCTTGAATCGCAGTGTTTGACTTTTTTAGAAGTGGCGAGTCGGGTGTGAAGCTCAGGTAACATAGTTTCAATGTTCACCAGCCATCTTGTTTAGTGAGACCTCTACCCAAAAATCTGGAAGGCATTTGGCCTATAAGAAAATGCCACTAATGGACTCTGATGTCATAACTCTTACACAACCAACAAAACATGAGATTTTTTTTTGTCTGTTACTTGTGCTCACTCGAAGTATCATTCTGTATTGATGCAGAGGACCCTCTTGAGATGGTGTTTAACTGGACCCTTATTTTTCCCAACAAATTTTCTACCCAATATCAGACAGTGAAGATGGCGCAAGTGAAAGGAAGGCATTTAAACACCCATTTTGTAGCCAGTTCATTATAATTTTACAATAACTTGAAGCAGAACTTTTAAAGTGAGCCCATGGAATTCCAGCTTCAATGACCACAAAAAGAATATTGTAGACTGTTCAAAGCTAGTTTCTTTCTTTCTTTTTTTTTTTTTTTTTAAATGAAAACAGATTCTTAAAGCTTTATCCTTTGACTTTGACAATAACATCTAAATCTTAATTCTTGATATAAAATGCCTGTTGGTGCTAGTAGATGTAACTATGACATAAATGGACAAGGCCTTAGTTGCCGCATTGACTTGTAAACTACTGGTTTTACTATTCCAAGCAATGCTGTAGCAGCAAGCCCTGCATTTATGGCTGTTTATGAATTAAACTTTGTCTCTCAATGTTATGGCCTGAATATATGCTGCTCAAATAATGGTGCAGAATGAATTTTTTTGGGGGGGGAAATGTGCCACACATAATGCAGTCTAAGTGTTTGTTCTAAATAAAATACACTTTTGAGCATTTCTTGGCTTAATTTTATTTTTGTCATGCTGCAGTGTGAAGTTCCTGTAAGATGATATTTGACAATCTGTACCTTCAACAAATTCAATACTAGTGTATCCCAAGCCTAGTCTTCTGTGAGAACTATAAATGTATGCACTGCTTCCAAACAGCAGATTCAAACTTAGTCCAGCTATCAGATTATCCCCTACTCTTAATAGATCTCTGTGGGGTTTGTTTGGGGTTTTTTGGTTTTTTGTTTTGTTTTGTTTTGTTTTTGTTGTTTTGTTTTTTTTTAATTTATTTACTCTTGTGGTCTCAAAGGTTTTATACATATTTCAAAGATTGGCAAGTAGGCATTACTTGAATATTTTAATGATTATCTTTGATTTGATGTATATTTAAGAAATGCATTTCTGCTCTTACTTGTTACCAGACTCCAACGTACTGCTTGCCATTAAGTCTCATGTTGTACCTGTTTAAAAGGTTACTCAGGGTTTGCAAGATGGAGCAACGAAAGCACAATGAGCATATGGGGTCATATAATGGGGTGTTTATGTTTCACTAACAAAAGTTTTTGGGGACTTGGCAAGGACTGCCTAAAGTTGGTACGTGAGTATGGGCAGATGGCTGATTACAGGAACCACCTGAGAGTCAACCTCTGCTGCAGACGAAACAGGATTGCCTCTAAAAAAATCTGCAAATAAGCTCTTCAGTTTCTGGAATTAATGTTTGGAGAGAACTTACTCCCAAATTGTGTAAATGTAGTTAAACATTCTTCTCAATATGTATAAAGATACTTATTCTGTGTCGTAGCAATATGTAGAGTTCTGTTTTATAAGGAGAATTTAACTACACATCAGAATCATCTTTATTTGGGCAAATTTGTGCAAACAAACAAGGAATTTGACTCCAGTAGGTATAACCAATAAATATGAAAAGATTAAAAAGAAAAATACAAGTTACAGAAAATCTTAAACTATGCAAAATATAACGAATTACAACTAGGCTATAAATAGGATGAACATAGTACCACCTGAATGAAACTGGATATTAAAGTAAAATTTAACTCCACGTATTTACACGTGTCTTAGTAAAGGATAGACGCTGATTTCCTGGTTCGTTTCCTTGACCATTGCTACTGGGAAAAGGGAAACTTGTATTTACTTTCTTTTTTCGTAGAACTTCAAGGCAACGTTTCCTCCAGCATAGTTTATGCAAATTACCAATCGCTCTGTCCTGATTGGCTGGGACCAAGAGCGTTTCCCGTCTTGCATTGGATACTGCGGTCTTGGCCACGTCCCCAAGCCACGTCGCGCTTGACTCGCCATTTTCCCATCTTCTAGACCCAGAAACCGTTTATTCTAACATCACAGTGTCATTCAGCACTGTCGGATAGGAAAAAAACCCGTTGCCGGAGACAGGCAGAGTTCTTCAGAGAATCTAGAATCGCCCTGCTACTTGCCGCGTTCCTGCAAACATGAATATTTTCAGGCTAACCGGCGACCTCTCCCACTTAGCAGCTATCATCATCCTGCTGCTAAAAATATGGAAAACCAGGTCTTGTGCCGGTGAGTAGCCAAAGTCTTTAACTTAAGAGTTTAAGCGAACCTTAGTAGGCACAGCATGTGTCCTCTCGTGTAATTAGCAGTTTGAGGAGAAGTGAAAGCTGTCCACCGTGGAACTTATCTGTAGTTAGTTGGAACTCATTAGCCAGCTTTTGGCTAATGTTAGCTAGCTGGCTAGTAGTCCTGTCCATTTCAGCGGTATGTTTTGTCATCAAGTAATGACAACCACTCCCGCGGCTGTCACTGTGCCTTTTAAGAATAGGACCCTGAAACTTGTTATGTGGTTATGTCATCAGTTGTGCTACTAGCTTGTCTTGACAGTCCATTTGGCCCCAAACTAGCGTTAGATGGGGGACCTGAGGGCCACAGTACTTGATAGTTTGGCTTCGTCATTTCACCTGATTGACACTAAGCTAGTTCCACGTTTCAGCCTTACTGTTCCTGTGACTTGCTTTACTACAGCCTGGTATGACCTCTCTGACGTGGCAGCATCGAGTGCTCCCGAGTCTGCACATGCAAAGTCGGTGACTGGGTGAATGTTTTTGCTTGCAAGTCCACCACGTCTTTGAGGGAAAAGTAAATTCCTGCATTCTGTGAAACTTTGTTTTTCCTGTTATTGCTGTGGCCAAAGGTTAGGTTGCTATCACTGCAAGGGAGCCATACCTAGATTAAACCACACAATGGTGTGTGAGAGTGTAAAGGGGAACAAAACGAATAATTGACTTTGAAGTGCTAACAAGGTTTGGATCACCTGGTGTCCTTAGAGGACTGTTGAATTCATTAATGGGTTACAAACAGTGTAATTTGATTACAAGTTGAGCAAGCAAGTAAAGCAGTTGCATAATAGCCTGTGTTCTTTAATGTAGAGAAGTGCAAGTAAACCATTGCATCTGTTAATTAATTGACATTTATTAACAGATAATGAACAGCAAGTAATGCATTTTTTAAAGTGCAAACTCTAACATAAAGTCTTATTGCATGTGTCTTGATGCATGCTCAATCATCCAGGTAAAGAAATCCCAAAAAATCGATTATGTTCATGTGGTGCTAGTTTTGGTCAATATGCAAATGTAGTGTTTGTAAGGTTAGGGAAACCTGCAGTCAGCTGAGACTGAAGAAGTCACTTGGATGAGTGACAAAACCTTTCTACCACTGAAAACGCTACATTTAGATGAACAGAATCAACTTTTTGGTATTGCATGTTTTTCAATTCAAGTTAAATCTATAATTCACACGAGTTGTCTGTGTGTAGACCAGATTGGACATTTGGTGGACTAGTTCTGCCCCCCAGACATCTCTGCCTTAGACTTATTTGTTCCTGCAAATCAAAGTACTTCTGAGTGATTGCCTTTATCCCTTTCCAACCTAATGGGAGTGGCTGCTTTAACAATACTTAAAGAAGCAGAAATAAATTGAAATGACTCACAAACAGTGGACCAGTAAAGGTGATAAAACTTTCAAATGAAACTTGATAAAGGAGCCATAATTGAATAAAACAATACATGAATATCAGGAAGTACAAAACCTCAGATAACTACACAAGTTTTTAGTTTAGTTTTAAACAATTATGTTGTTGGAGCACACTTAATGGGAGTAGCAGAACATACAACGTTAGATTGTTCCAAGCAGCTTCACAATTTGTGTTTCCATGGGGGAATACCCTGGTGGCTTTTTCCAGAGCTCTGATTATGTACAACTTCAAAAACAAGCATTTAACGTTTAAAATCAACTCACTGGAAGATTTCTGTTATTAGTGAGTAATAGTAGTGCAGCTATTTGAGCATGAATGAGGTGAAAAAACTCTTGGCCTTTATGGTATTAGATGATTTAAAAAAACAAAAAAAACAAAACAGGTTTTGTCACATGACAACATACCAGATACTTGTTCCAATTATATAATATCCTCTGCTCCTATACTAACCATATAATAGGGAGTAAAACGTTATAATGTTAAGTTTAAAATACTTTGTGCTGTCTTTCACAGGTATTTCGGGAAAGAGTCAGATCTTGTTTGCCTTGGTGTTCACCACTCGATACCTTGACCTGCTCACATCGTTCATCTCTCTCTACAACACCACCATGAAGGTAAGATCCTGCCCCCTTCTCATCATCACTTCCTGCAGCATTTTCCATCCAAGCAATGAACACAGTGTGGGTGTAACCGGTACACCAGGCCCAACATGTCAGTGTTTGCTAAACGATACAGCTGCCAAATAATTTGTGGTAGGCTTGTACGAGGTGTCCATGCTGCACAACTGCAAGTACCTCAGGCCATTAGGTCACGAGAGTCTTAATGCTTTCCCATTTATATTTCAGATCATCTACATCGGATGTTCATACGCCACTGTGTACCTGATCTACATGAAGTTCAAGGCAACTTATGATGGAAACCATGACACGTTCAGAGTGGAGTTCCTGGTCGTCCCTGTTGGTGGCCTGGCTTTCCTGGTTAACCATGACTTCTCTCCTCTGGAGGTCAGACATTCAAACACACAGCCAGGGCTGCTCTATGCTAAAATAAAATTCATAACTATATTGTTAAATCTTGAAATGACTGTTATTAGACACAACTACTCAAAGACTCCAAAAAAGAATAGATAATGTAAAAAAAGAAGCGAGGAGAAATTGGTATGCAAGTTATGGAAGACAAAAGAGGGCTGTCATCTAGATTGATTCCTACTATGACAGGCTCTCTGCAGCACCTATAAGCCAACTATCTAAGAGCAGTCGATCTTTCATGCTGCTTCTGTGTTGTCATAGTGCCATAGATGGTAGTGTCGAACTATTAACAGAGCAGCAGGTATGGGAATCCTCATGTGCTGAACAGCAACATGGTGCTTCAAGTAGAGCAGGGCGATATGTCCAAAAATATTTATCACGATATACATTTGAAAATTTGCAATAACGATATAACTGACACTAAACAAAATACTTTACAACTCCACAACTTTATTAGTGCAAAAAAACCCCATCAATGTATTTTCACTTAAACAAGCAGCTGTTTAATGTGAATTAAAGTTATATAAAAATTTAACAGTGCAAATGCAAATTCCTCGCTGACAGTTTAACCAAAAGGCGTTTCCAGTGGAAACTGGCCGACATATCCTCAACATAACCATGTATAACATCCACAAAACTTAAAAAGAGGTTATACACACACGACACGGTAACATTATGTTGAAGCACAGTACGTCTCACTCCGCGAGGCTCCTGCCCACGATAGCCGTAACGCTCCGACAATCCATCAAGCAGTCCGGGTTCGTAGCTTAGCAAAAACATTTGACAGATTTTCAAGCACCGTGCACATAAAATCGTTTTGAGGTCGGTAAGCACAACCAGAATTCATACATAAGGCACACGGGGCACATAAGCTGCACTGTCGACTTTCAGAAAAATCAAAGGATTGATTTTAAGTGTGCCGTATTTTCCAAACAACACAGTAATAACGACGGCCCACTAGCATGCTCTACCAAAAATAGTGCTTTGTTGTGTATCTGACGGACGAAAGCTAAACCAGTTCCACACCACTGAAGTTGCAGCATTTTTACAAACCAGTTCTGGTTCATCCGTTTCATTCAACGATTTGCTTTCGCCGCAATGCTTTTTCCGACGTGTGCGTATGAAAACAAAGGCACTGCGCATGCGCGTTTTACCCATATTCTATTGCGATATTTCATTTTTTCTATCGTTGCCCAAAATTATACCGGTATTACCGTGAACGGTATGATATGACCCAGCTTCAAGTTTCCATCATTGTGGTGGAGCTCTGTTTAAAACATCTCAAAGGCAGCCGTGTTGGGTGCTGTTTATGGCTCGGAAAGTTTCTTGGCTTTAATTCAGCGTTCAGAGTTAATGACATATTTCATAACTGGAAACAAATGTGCACTTTTCTACCTGATGTGGGTCGCTGTATGCTGCATTACCATCATTCACTAGGCACCTTATACCACGGACATGGAGGAAACGGAGTATGCCTCCTTCAAAGCCTAGATCACGTGCATTATCCGTGACTGACATGTAGCCCAACTTAGGTCCAAACAAAGTTGTTTTCAAAATCTTTGGAAGACAAAATCATAACTGAAACCAAAGTCTGAGGAATCACCCAGCACTTCATTCTATAGAGGGAACAGGATGCACATACATGTTAAACTCAGTCACGTGAGACAGCTGCCATGCAGCATGCATGCACCAGTGCAGACTTACTATGAAAAAAGGGTTATGTTTCAGTTTGATTTCTTTTACCGTGCTTCTGGCTGGTTTGTTTACATGTGCATGCTTTCTTTTTTCATGTATTTGCAACACACTGACTTGCAGAGATGAAGATCTCTGTGAGCTTGATTTTCAGTCCAGGAAAATCACTTTAACATTTGCCCAAGTGCTCACAGTTATACCTGCCATTCAACGCTGGCAAACATGATAAAATCTCTGTATGTAAATTTAAAACACACATCACTGCTGACACTCTGCCATCCATTTCCTCCACCTCAGATCCTGTGGACATTTTCTATCTACTTGGAGTCAGTGGCCATCCTACCTCAGCTCTTCATGATCAGCAAGACGGGAGAAGCTGAGACCATCACCACCCACTACCTGTTCTTCCTGGGTCTGTACAGAGCTCTCTACCTCATCAACTGGATATGGAGGTTCTACTTTGAGGGGTTCTTTGATATGATTGCCATCGTTGCTGGAGTGGTGCAGACCATCCTGTACTGCGACTTCTTCTATTTGTATGTAACAAAAGGTGAGTGCTGCTGCATTTTTCATTTCATTTTTTTTAATGAAATATATATTTGTTCAAACCAAAGTTGAAAATCTCTTTAATGGTAGCAGTGCAGATATGTTGTAATTTGTTTCAAGGACAAAGCAAACATGAGCACAAGATTAGATTCTCCAATCTGAACATTTTGTTTTTACTGTGTGTAGTGTTTTGTTTTTTTCTTTGGGGTTTTTTTTCATGATTTGCAATCCTAACCTTTTAAGGTTTGTCCATAAATGGATGTCATTGAGTTCATAACTGTCTTGTTTACAAAAGAGTATCAGGAAGAGATGCATTGTCATATCAACTACTGCATCACTATAATGAAAAATTCAGAAACGCCCTCGATGCTTCATCATTTATTGAGTTTTTAATATGAGTTTAAGATGACTTCCTTTTTCTTTTCTCACTGGTGACATCACAAACAACACAACCAATGCAGTGGCCATAAACCAGGCTTTACACTCATGTTTCAGAGCACACTGGGTAGTACATATAGTCACTCCACCATCTTGTGGTAGAAACTGGTGTTCATCAAAATCATAGGTCGACTTCAGCTGATGTCTCTTAAACACAGTGCGTAGACATTTGGATATAAATAGCAGTGGCTTCTTCACATCCCTTTGATTGCTTTAAATAATTCAGGTATAATAAGTTCCCTTTAACTACACTGATATTAAAACAAATGTTGATGAAATAAAGTTTTCATATAAGTTTTGGTGTTCAAGTCTCAGGCAGCAAAAACACTAAACTGAAAAAAATCAATCCATCAGTGTGTCTTCTTGTGATGAATGCTCCCTGTCTAATATGTTCAACATAAATCTGTCCTGTCTGGTTTCAGTACTGAAAGGAAAGAAGCTGAGTCTGCCAGCCTAAGTGCCAAAGAAGAGTGTTTTGGCAGACTCAAATCGGGCAATTGGAGGGGAGGAGCAGGGGCAGCAGACACCTCTGACAGCCCCATTCCCCCAATATCAGCAGTCACTTCCTCCTCTTCCCCTCCCACCAGTGTAAGATGCCTGAGACAGAGAGCTAGCAGGAGCCACTGGCTGATCCAGAATCAGTGGAATTGGAACACCTTCAGCAGCTGCTCCTTGGCCTGCAGATTTCTGTTTGATGCATCTTGCCTTAACTTTTTTTATTACTCTGTATAACGGAAGGAAAAAAAAAAAGCGAGAAATGTTTTCTACATAAAATGTGTGATCTGGAGATTCGACACATCGATGGAGCTCGGGAGATAAAATTGCCTGTGATTTGGCACTGTATGATATAGAAGCAGACTTCTTGTGGTGGGATATTATTGAGCATTTTTAATAGTATTTGCAATCAAAATAAAATCTCTTTGTTCTTTTTTTTTTTCTTTTTTTTTCTTTTCTAAATCTGACTGAGGAGGCTTGTATTGAATCCCATAACTTTGATTCTGCCGTTCTGTTTTTGGCCAGTATGCATTTCCATTTGTAATGACTGCTGCTCATGCCTTTTGGTGGAAAAAAAAATTGTAGTAGATGCCATAAATAGTTCTTTTTCAAAATCAAAGCAACTCTGAAGGTAACTTTAGAATGTATTTTGGTTCAAATGCTGTCAGAAATGATGGGCATTAGATCCTCAGTGTATTCTCCGTCGCCATATGAAGCACGGTCCATATTAGGAGTAAACAAACGAAAAAAGACGTGTGAAGAAAGTCAGTGAACTCGCCGTTAATTGCTTTCGTTTAAAGTGACCGATGCCACCTGTAATTATACATCATTTCAGATGGTACCTTTTATATGTTTGAGATGCATAAACTCACTGGTTATGTGCTGTGTGTGAAGTCCCACTGCAGAGGTCTTTTTTTTTTCTTTTAGCTGCAAATGTATTTATTTTTTAATCTTCCTGCTGGTTTCCAATAAACAGTCTGTAGAAAGTTCTACCTGTTGTGCATAATTTGACCCTAAGAAAGGAATCTCCCTATTGGATTTGGAAAGAGACTGCGGCAGTATCCTATGAAGTTACCGGTATATTGGTTTCTGATAGAGTTTTCATGCTCATCATTCTCAAGTTCTCTTTTTCATTTCTCACCAGAGCTCTTGCATGATATTACCACCACTAATAAAAGCTTTGTGGGAAACATTTGTCTTAGTACTGTGATTCCACTCAAGTTTTGCTCCTATGACGTTACACATGACGGTCAGATTTATTACTTTTTTTTTATCCGCTGATGCAGAAAGTCTTAATAAGCTCATCGCATTTTCATATATACTGGAATTTCCCTTTTTGGTGTCAGTATTCCACCCATGTTGGGGGGCACACACCAGTGTACTCCTAGTATCCCAAGCCCTGATGAATGGGGAACTTTGCCTCAGGAAGTGCATCTGATATAAATTAAGCATGCAAATAATACAGAATGAGATTTCCATTCATACCGGATTGGTTAAGGCCCGGTTTAACAACGAGTGCTTTCACTGCTGGTCAAAACTGTGCTGCTGTTGGCAGAAGACAAAAGATGGAAGGCATGCTAGGGGGCAGTGAGAGAGAAGGAAAGCTGTAGAGGTGAGAGGACACATTTAAATGTAGAGACTATGACTGGTAAAGGCAGAGTGCTGGCTAGTATCATAGAGTGAAGGAAGACTGGACACATATATCCTGGTATGCATTGTCTTGGTGAAAAATTCAAGGAACACCTGGATGAGAGCACAAGTTGCTCTAAAACCTGTATGTACTTATATTATAGGGTACATATGGAGACAACAGAGACAAGACATAGGTTTGCAGAGAAAACATATAAAGACAGACAACCATTCACACCTACAGCCAATTTAGAATTACCAAACAACCTAACCCATGTGTTTGGACTGGAGAAGGAAGTTGCTAACCACTACACCACGTACCGTGACTATTTAAAAAAAAAAAAAACTTAAATAAAATGCAGACAATAATGCATTCTTAAGCATGATACTATTCCAAACTGCAGATTTATAGACATATTTTCATTAAATGTGGTGCGTGAACAGACTGCTGATTCTACTGTTTGCTCAATCATTCGCTAGATTAATGAATTTTTTAACCAACCAATCAGCGAAAAATGCATTAACCTTTTTGTGCTTTTTTATATTATTATTATTATATTATTTATATTTTTTTTATTTATAGACTATAGAACATTTAAAAAACAGAAGCTAACTCAAAGTGCTTTAGAGACAGACACATTTAAATTATGTCTCCAAAAAGCAGAGAAAATAAAAGCAGAGGGGTGAGTTTTGTTCTGTTAATTACTGTAGAAAGAAAAATCATAGTGATTTAGTGATCATTAAAAGAAAAAAAAATGCAAATTGATTATTATTCTTTTCATAACTGCTCTATCCTATATAAGTGGCCTTTATAGTTTAAAATAATAATTTTCAGTATTGCCCTGTATTTGCTTGGTATCAGACTAATACCCGATTTTGAAGTATCGCACGGCACTAGCTGTTACGTGTTGACGGGGCTGGATTATATGACGAGTGTGCTCGGAACCATCGATTTGAGCCACCCGGAACAAAAACGTCGTCGGACCAAGCTTTTTTCTTTCCCCCCATTTTTAAGTCGCGTTGGTTTTAGTCATTGTCATGAATAACAAGTGACGTTTTTAACGTGTCTGACGAAGAAAGGAGAAGTAGTAGAAAAGAAAGGACACCCCCCTATATTTATAGCTAATTTCTGATTGTGTGCGATCGAGTGCAGTGGATGAACAGGATGGAAAATGATATTTCAGAAGGAAAATCTACTAACTCTTCAGGTAAGTTTTCCTAGCATCACTGTAAAGAGTTGGTTTTTAGTCAGACAGTCTGAATAACAAGCTGCTTATGTGGCATTTTAACGGAGGAGATATTTCACAAACGCTGATGAGTAGTAATAAAACATTGGGGATTTAGTGTCGAATAAAAATAGCACAGTTATGAGTAACAACACTGCCTGCATTTTCTTGAATAGGCACTTTATGCAAATACGTGCAACATCTAACATAGGCACTGTCTACAAATGAATTTGGTATTAGTTGTAGTACCGAATTAAATTAAAGTGAACGCTTTCATTTAAAGTGGTCTCTGCTTCCGTTCTTGATGCCAGGGATTCCATAACATGTTGGAGATGTTTTTCGTGGGTTCTTTTGACTTAATCTAAATGCACTGTGGTGGAAATTTTGCAACAAACTTATAAACGGTTACAATGGACCATGTACCAGCTTTCATAGGAAGAGAGGCAGACTACACCTTGGGCAGGTTTCCAATCTATTGCAGGGCTAACACAGAGAGATGGACAAGCAATCACGCTCAAATTCACACCTATGGCCAGTTTACTGTAGAATCACCAGTTAACCTAACTTGGATGCCTTTGGACTGTGGGAGGAAGCAGACGTATCAGGAGAGAGCCAACACAACCATGGGGAGAACATAGAAAGGCCCCAACTGGCTGGTTGATTTGAACCCACGACCTTCTTGCTGTGAGGCTGCGATGCTACCATCTGTCATGAGCATTATAAATACTTGCATTCTTAAATGTGACACTCTGACCAAAACTCATTTGACCATAAAGTAATAGTAGACTACTGTATGTTGTATTTTTCAATTGTGAGTAGATTTCAAACAGATGTATAGATTTGATTTAATGTTGTATGGTAAATGATAAATGGCCTGTATTTATATAGCGCTTTACTAGTCCCTAAGGACCCCAAAGTGCTTTACACATCCAGTCATCCACCCATTCACACACTCATTCACACACAGGTGATGGCAAGCTACAATGTAGCCACAGCCACCCTGGGGCGCACTGACAGAGACGAGGTATGTCAACAGTTCATTACTGGCCAGCCTACTGAGTACTACAGATGTCTGTGTATTGTGCAGGCAACGGGTAGAACATGCCTCAACTGACCAGTGGATTCCTTCTTGCTATTAGGTGATAGAGCTAAACACCACCATATACATATGAGTTTATTAAATATGTATATGCGACTGCTTTGCTATGAAAGGATCAAGGAACACAAAGCAAAAGAGCAAAACAATATTTTGGCCCTGCAGTTTAGTAAATCCCATGTTCATGAAACTCATTGTTATGGGCCAAATGACATATTTTAGTTTAGTAGTAGTAGTAATAATAATAATAATAATAACAACAATATTAGTCAAAACAGTCAGTTTTAATGAGTTATTCATTTACACAACAGACGATGAGCAGCATTTGGAGCAAGGTCACCACTAAACAATATGCAAACAATTGGACAGCTGTGTTAAGCCAAGTATTTGTGTCTGGGTTTAAGTTATGGTTCATTTTATGGATATTGATAATAAAACATTTATCCCCGATGTTAAAATGACCCACTTCTGTTCACATTCAGGTGCAACACTCTCCTTCACTGCCCTGCGCCTCCTGGTCCCACCACTTCGGTTGGTCTCCGCAGCCGTCTGGCAGACCATCCAGCAAAAAGTTATAGGTGATTACGGGATGCTTGAGGAGTTTGTGTCTATGGTTACAGACATTCTTCCAGAGCTGCTCACCAGCCGCCAGCGGACTGAACTCAGCCTGGGCCTCAGAGCACGGGTTAGTTTATCAGCATCTGCAAATGAAGTCATTGTAGATTTGATGGATTTGTACTTTTTTGCCTTCGTCATAATTGTCTTTTACGTCGATAAGAGCTTTGCACGCCTTTTGTTCTCTTATTCTTTGGCAACCAGCTTCACAAGGACTGGAGCATTTCCAACATCCAACAGTTGGCTGCTTTTCCATCACTCTGCTCTGACACAGAATGTCAGTTGGTTCTAGGTCATGTGATTGGGTGGCCATCACCACTCCTCCTACATCCTTCCTTTTGGGAACCACACACTAAGATACCATCTGTTCACCTTCTCTGTGTCTCAGAAGACATTGTATCCACAGTCAACATTGTCACACTTGGATTATGCAGTCCAAAATCCAGATTTCCACTAATCTAATGTCCACAGTCAGCTATATTATTTTTTTCAGGCATTCTGCCACAAACACAGCCATGTTTCTACTTCTCAAACCTTTAATCTTTAGGTAGATTGTGGGAAAAGTTTATAACTCTAATATGGTTGTAGAATTAATCTACTTCCTAGCTTCCTGTAATTAAATTATCAAAAAGCATAAGAAAATCTAGCACTCCCTAAATCACCACCTGAAGATGTGTCTGCATATACCAGTCACAAAGCGCCACGCATTGTGAAGTTTCCTGAATACACTTGACTAAGGGCATTTAGATCAAGTGATGTTACCCAAGAACCATTGGGATAAGTGTAGAGTGTAGAGCAGTGTCTGGATCTCAAAGAATTCACCGATTGCAGTATGGTGAATACACAGAGGCCAAGAAAAACAGTGGTTGACAATGTGAATCGTTCAACATCAACGTGAATGTCCATAAAATCGTGCCTGTACAGAGTGCCGGCGTATCCATCAAGCTCACAAAACACGCAGTGAAATAACCAACACGGTAGCATTCCATTTGGTAAAAGACGATGGGCTGATATTTATATAGCACTTGTGCAGATAACAAACAAAGTCTTAAATTCGTGCACACGTATGCTTCAGTGTAGGCATCAGAGGCAACTTGGCTTCATGCTTTGGTGATGCAAAGATTTACACATTAGCGGGAAAGTCCCCTCAATCTGAATGTGAAAGTAGCGTCTACGTGACAGTGCTGTAGAACAGTTTTGTCTACAGTCAATGAATAGTTGTGATTAATAACTGTGATGATCTTAACATTGAGAATATTAATAATTAATTAGTTGTGCCGTTCAGCAATTAAGCCACTAAGGTGAAATACTATACCAAGCATGACTAGAAACTTCCACACAAAACCAAAACAAAGTTTGGCTGATCCCCTCTGGACTTATTTCAGTGTTGGTGCTGTTTTTACATTTCCATGTGGAAGTCTCATTTCTGCTCTGGATCTTCCCTGATCTGTCTAACCCGTTTTCTTTTATGGAAAATGGTTGAAATGACAAAAGTGAGCGGGACAGGTTGTGCTACCTATTTGTATTGCTGATAAAAGCCGTGCATGCTGGCAAACAATGCAGGTTACTGTTGAATAATCCTTTCTCAGGTCTCTCAGGACCTTACAGTCTCATTTATGATGATTTAGGTTGCCCAACACCTTGAAAATTGAAATAGTGATCGTTCATGTCACTCTATTAAACATCAGTTTCTTTGCGCTCTCAGCTGATCCTGGAGTTATACCAGCGTGAAGCTCCTGCTGACTTTGAGATCATCCAGCCACACTTGGACAGGATGCAAGTGCTCATCAATGCATGGCTAGTGGAGGTGATTTCATTGGTTTTTTTTCTGTTATCGTGACAGTATAATTTAGATTCCCAAAACAGCTTATTATCATTATTAATTGTTATTATTATGAATTATGCAGGCTGGTGGTACTAATGTAGAACTGCCACAATCAAACTTTGTGGATCTTGTAAAGAACTTGCAGAATGATGCTGAAGAAAGAGAGCACTTCTTTCAGGTCTGTATTTGTTTTTTCACTGCTTTTTGGCATCCTAGATATAATAATACCATATAAGTGTTATTATTTTATTATCAAAGCTGGAGTACTTTCATTTTCAAGTAGTAGTAGTGGTAAAGTAGTCAAGTATGTGTAAAGGTGTATTTTTGAGTTTACTAAAAGCGCCAGCTGCAGTGATATTTCTGTATGTTTTGGACGTTCATGGTGTGCTTTCTTGTTTGTGCTTCTCAGAATGTTTTCCCTGTAGAGTTTGGTCCTGCATATGATGAAACACTTCACACTTTGATGTGCCTGTTTTTATCCAGATTTGAAAAGATTCTTCATCTTCAGTCATTCCAGCAGGTACACAAAAGTGCTACTCAACATTACCCAATTATATTTTAAGCTAGATTAACAAATGTTAACGCCGCTCTTTCTTTTTCATTTTCAAAAGGTTGCCTCCATGTTTGGTGAAGCTTCTTCTGCTCTCAAGGACTGCATGCAGTTGGTGTCTCAGTGTGAAGAGCTCAAAACTCTGCTGCAGTATCAAAAACACCTTAGCCAACTAGATCATATAGGTAAGTAGTTACAGATTTTCTACTCTTAGCTCCGTATCCCTGATTTAGCCGTCTCAGGCACATGGTTCTGGCTGTGAGCGCCAAAGGCCCCGCCCACTTGCAGTTTGCAAGGGACAGCTAATCGGAGGAAAGTTACCCTAAAGGTCTGTTGAGTAGCTAAAACAACTTGTTTCAGATAGCAGATTTACTACGAGGCTGAAACAAAGGACCAGTATAAGACAAATAAGGATTATTTTGAACTGTGAACCATGCAAAGCTACTCTAGTAGAGGCTGACGTTAAAAATGTGGAGCTGATTTTTAATCGGTCCACTTTAATGATGTGTATTTGGCTTGTGAGATTGCTGCTTTGTGGTCAAAAAAATAAATCCAATGTTCTCAGATTAGTATGACGTGTGCAATAATGTAATAATGAATGGCACTTGGGTGTTGAGCTCTGTTCTTGTTCACTGTTATATGACACCTTTTTTTGTCTTTTCAGATAGTTCTCTGGACGGTGAGTGGATCATTTCAGCTCTAAACCTTCCCTGTGTAGAAAAAACAGAAACGCTTAAAACACAAGCAAAGGGCAGCGTTTTGGATGAATTGTTATTTTCATCAGATTTGGAAAAGGAATCACTGGCTCCAGAACAGCAGACGTGTGAGACCAATGATGGTAAAAGTGATTGGACTCCTGAGCACAATGGAACACAGTTGCCTTTAGGAGATTCAACAAAACATAACGAAAATGTAAATCTTCAAAGTCAGACAGATGGTTCTTGTTGCCTAATCAAAGAGTGCCACGTTCGTCTAAGAAGACTTGACCTGCCACTGTCTTTACAGTCTCGACCTGTGAGATCAAACAGAGGCCTAAGAATGAAAAAGATTCTCCAAGAGGTGAAAGGGCAACTTTGTGGAGAGGCCCTACCTGCTGACAAATCTATTTCCACGAAAGCAAAACAGTTCGAGAGGGTTTCTCAAATGCTGTCAGACAATGAGGATTCAGGCAAAGACTCCTCATACATGGCTCCCATCAGTACTTGCAGTGAAGATGACTCCTGGTCTTACTACTCGGATAAGGACTCTAGTCATAACACTGTTAGTAGAAGTCCCAGTGTAACTGATTCATGGTCTCACTACTCAGACGATGAGTCTTCAATTGTGAGTCCTGTTAACAGTTTCCCTGAAAGTGGTTCAGTTTGTAGCAGCTCAGATGAGGACCCTTCGTTCCTGGGTCCTAAAGATGTGTCAGATTCTAGCAGAAATCGGGGCACTGCTGGCATAAAGCATAGCTCTACCAAACACACTCGTTTAATCCAGTGCTTTATCTGCAAAGAGCATGTCAACACAAACCTGAGAACTCACATGAAAACCCACTTTCCCACCAATGACTACGCGTGCCCTCGATGCGATAGCAGGTTTAAACTCCTATCCTCTCTGAAGAAGCACTTGAATAAGACTTGTTATGAATATGCTCAGCAGCATGTAGATCCAGGGAATCCAGATGAAGTCAAGAATCTTTACAAATGTGACATATGCCAAGAGGCGTTCAAGTACAAAGTTGCTCTGCAAAAGCATACGCTGACCCACAACGAGCTCTACTGCAACGTATGCAGAAAGGTCCTTCGAGATGCTGCAACGCTGGCAAGGCACAAAGTTTCACACACTCCATTTCAGTGCAACCGCTGCGACAAGTCTTTCAGTCTTTTCAAGCCCTTACTCAAACATTACGAAAACATCCATAAAGTCAGCAGACCATTCAAATGCAGCCATTGCCCCAAAACTCTCCCCAGGCTGCGATTTTTAATCATACATGAATGGCACCACACAGGCCACCTGCCGTTCCGGTGTTCTCATTGCAGCCTGAGATTCAAATGTGATTCTGAGCTCATGTACCACGAGAGGGTCCACACCAGAGAGAAACCCTATCTGTGTGCAGAGTGCGGCAAGACGTTCGCCCAAAAGTCCAACATGTTGCGCCACCTGCACTTCATCCACAGCGAGTCTCGAAATGAGAAGAAGCACTCTTGTTCTCAGTGCGAGAAGTCCTTTAAAGAGAAAGGAGCACTGAAAAAGCACCAGAGGAGCAAACACTTACACGAGTTGTTCCGTAATCCATGTCCGACCTGCGGGAAGATGCTTTCGGCATCAACGATGAAAAGGCATAAATTAATCCACACTGGAGAAAGACCTTTCAAATGCACTGTGCCTGAATGCGAAAAGTACTACAGATCAACCTCGGAGGTTAAGAAACACATTCTCATGCACCATACCACAGAAAGGCCGTATAAATGTGACATCTGTGGAAAGGGGTTTGTAAAAATGTGGTATCTCAATGTACATGCTAGAATACATTCGGGAGAAAAACCATTTGTTTGCCATATCTGCGGCAAGGCCTTCCTAAAGGCCTACAGCATGTTCAGGCACAAAAGACTTCTACATACATTTGTTACACATTAACTACGTGACACAGGAATGCTTGATTGGTTAAGGAAAGTAGCTTCTTGGTGTGAATGCGCATTGAATCTGAATTCTGTCTTAATGGGCAGCAAGGAGCAGATGTTGCAAAAGCTGGCAAAATCATTCCCTATTTACTATTTAAAGTATGTATGTTTTCATTTGAACCACTTGTCTACCAAGAGTGAGTGACGACAGAGGCCATTGCCACAGGAAACCAACCAACTGGACAAAAAAAAAAAAAGGGAGAGAAAGAATCAAAACATGTCCAGCTAACTTTGTAACCACTTTGAGAACCCTCCAAATGCTTGTTCAGGGGTAAAGTTAGCGGTACGTTTTAGGTTAGAGTTAGGCACTTAGATGGTTAAACCTCAGGTAAAAAGTGTGTGAATACACTGATGCCAGTGAATTACCTCACAAAGATACCTAGACAAATGTCTGCTTTGCGCTACACAGAAAGAGGAGCACACAGATTCAAATAGTCTACGATGAAACTGAAAAAGTAGTGGTTCCAGCATGTAAAATACTTACAGTCCCACAGTTAAATGTACTATCTCTGTGTGGGGCACAGGCTGCGGTGACTGTTGTCTAAGTCAGCAGCTGACAGTACAATGAAAAAAACAAACAAACACTGTAAACACAATAAAAATGCAGGACGCATACTTGAGGTGAAAGAGTTCAGCTCGGTGTATAAAAGATCTTTGTGTCTTCTCCCAACTTCAATTCATATGAAGAATTACCATATTTGTTTCATGTGTACTTTGTATTTAGCAGTGTAATTTTCTTTAACTATTTAGTTTGTTTGATTTTACATCATATATGTTTTGTTCTTTTTCATGTTGTGTATAATGTGTTTTAGGCACGAAGCAGAAAAGTGAGCAGCATTCAGCTTCTTCTGTGGATCATTTTCATCTGTTTTCTATCAAAAAATTAAAATGGTGAAGCTTTCACTTAAAATAGTGATCTTTCTTTCATTCATCTAATTTTGTGGGGCTTTGCTCATGTTTTTTTTTTTTTTTTTTTGAAAATTGGTAAATCCCAAGATTACAATAAACTACTTAAATGTACATGCGAAAATGATTGCATGATTTTTTATTAAGAGGAAGAAACTCTTTAGTGTAGAAATAAAAGAAGGAAGGAAAGACAACGGTACAAAGTGTTATAGTGAAGAGCAAGTTGATAATAATGTGCTTGCCTCTCTTCTTCTTTCAGCTAATATTAGGATCAGGGCAGGCTTGGGTCATTTTTCTTTCTTTCTATTTTCTAAACTCTTAACAACGATGTTTAGACAGTGTGTATATTGAGGACTTAATCAGATAACTATAAAAAACTAAGTATCCCTTTCAATTAGCCTCATCTTTTTTTGAATCTTTTCATTGAGCCATCATTTTTCACTAATTTAGACATCCATAATGCATTTAATTTAGTACACATAAAATAATGTGAATTCTATGCTTCTTCGGTAGGTAAACAGGGAGGAAAGGCTAAGGTGTCAGACCATATGGAGTGATCCAAATTTGAAACTTTTGGTCCAAACTGTCATTAATTTGTAAAAGTCAGGAGAGAGGTACAACAGTTAATGTCTAATGCCCTCTGTCCTGGTTAGGGGTGGCATTGCACCCAGTAGTGTTGGAGATCTTGATAAAATTGATGGAATTCTAAATGCAGAAAACTACTGTCAGATCACTGTCACAAATACACACACTACACATGGACACTCTGAGTCATGGATTTGCATTCCTAGACCCCTGATCCCATTATTGAAGATGTGGGATCACCTTTACAGAGAACAGAAGAAAACGCAGCTAGCATCCAAAGAAGAGCTTTGGAATGTTCTTCAAGAAGCCTGGAGAACCATTCTTGAAGACTACTAAAAGAAATTAGTGGAAAGCTTGCTTAGTTCACACTTTGTTAAGGAATTAAACATGGCCATACCAAAGTTGCTCCTGCACCTATTTCGCAATTTTATTAGCCATACAGAAACAAAGGAGAGTGGAGATCGAAAGGCCAAAAGCACAGTAAAATAAAATGTAAAAAAAAAAACGCGATGCGGAACGAATAACAGGACTATTTCCCGTTGTCGGACAGTTATTGTAGATGGAACGAAAGGCAACAGTTGACGCACAAAGATCAGTTGTGTGACTTCGCTTTCTGGCTTCCAACCCATTTAAAACCGTTACTTTGACTTCGGTCACAGTATTACATGTTCTCTGACTGTAATGTAACTGCAGACAGCTCGCAGCATGGACGGAGGTGTCTCCGAGTTACCTGGTGAGTTTAAATGCTTGTATACAATTTTGTTTGGCTAGGCCGCAATCTAGCCCGCGCGCGGGAATAGCATTGCTAAAGCCGTAGCGGTCGTTATTATTATATTATTATTTTACTAAAGAGTTGTGTCTAAAAAAATACAAACTGCTTCTACTTTTTACTAGCCTGGAAACACGTTGCTGGACTTAATTCTTTAACTCAGCGTTTGTGAGTATTAGTTATCCATAGTGCTTAGATAATGCTGGGCTAGGCTAGGAAAAGTCATTGACAGCAATTCACTCGTTGAAGTGAATCCGCCTGTTTTGAGTAAATCACTGATTCATGTATTTGCTTTGGGGGTTTTGGGTGGGAGGGGAAGGGGATATGCAAACATATTAGCAACGTATGCAAGCAGTTATACTGTTAAACATTCAAATTGATATGTAACAGTGGTTCAATAGTAGATTACGGAAATGAAAGTAGCAGGCACATCCGCTTTATCCGGAGCTCGGCATTTAAGCGTTTTGTTGTTGCTTTTCTTTTTGTTTGTGTTTTTCTGTGAAGAATAACTCCGCTTTAATGTTACGTGAGACCTTAGTTTTGTTATCAGTAATAATGGCCATTCGAGCTAAAATAAAACATTTTATTTTAATCCTGCTGGTAAGTTCGTGATGGGATTTTTTTGTGTGGAAAAACTTCACAAAATTTTGATTTGGTATACTATGCATGAATCTCCTTTCTCTTTTGGAACCAATATAAAGACGGTGACTAAATAAAGGGAATTTAGTTTGTGGTCATCACTCCATTGACAACTTAAATGGGAAAGTCTGTGTTGTTGGCCTGTCTTCACTCTCACTGCGTATTGCCTTTCAAGCACTTTTTTTTTTTTAAAATGCCTTTTTCCTTGCAGGCCCCTCTCTTCCCCTCTCTGCTCTGCGGCTCCTGGTCTCACCGATTCGGCTGGTTTCTGCAGCCATCTGGCAGACTGTGGAGCAGAAGGTTGTGTCAGACTATGGGCTGCTTGAGGAGTTTGTGTTTATGGTCACAGAAATTGTTCCTCAGCTTCTCTCTACGAGGCAGCGCGCTGAACTCGTCTTGGGACTCAGAGCACGAGTGAGTTGGCAGAATCTAGGTGCTCCGCATGGCGCTCCAGCATGTTACTAATACATGTATTTTGTCACTTGTTTGTTTAGCAGCTTAACATACATTTTAATTACATACTCCCTGGGTGATAGTAGGTGGGTTAGTGTGTTGTTTGAAGCTGAAGACTCATCTGATCAACAATTGTGGCTTTTAAACAGAAAAAAGCCTTTGATGTATGCAGTAGGGCTGAATGATAAATTGGGTTTTAATTTTAATTGCAGCAGTTATTATAAACAATTCTTCTTCTTCCTAGTTTGTTTAATCCAAACCTCAAAAGGCGGAACCCACTAAGTTGAGAAAGAATGATAGTTATCCTTTAGAGAGATTAATGGTTGCCTGCAGCTGCCTTTGTCGTTATCTTAAAGTTGTCACAGTCTTTGTTTTGACTACTCACTGAGAGTATGGCTGTGTCCCAATTAAGAGACCGCACGCTTGAAGTACGCGCACTACGTACGGTGCGTACTGTAAGTACGAGAAGTGCGGAAGTGAGAGGCTTGTGAAATGGGACCGTCTAGCCTTCGTCTCGCTGTTCAGGTTGCCTAGCAACCATGATACTAACCGCAAGAAACGTTATATACAGCATTGTGTGACATAAATGAAGGAGAAACAATGTTTTGTTGGTCATTCATTTTTGTCATGACATCACTTTGATTAGTTGAGTATCTGAGGCTGAGACCACGGGACTGTAAAACATGATTGTTTGGCTTCATTTCTGTACTGAACAGTCATTTCAAGATTAGTTAGTAATATATATATATATATATATATATATAAGAAGAAGTTGAATGTTAAACATGAAGCATTTCCTGAGATTCATTATAGAACACAGAGTGAGTGGAATGCATCTTTTCTCTTAACTGTTCGCTTATTAATGGTGATTGCAGTTGATCCTGGAGCTGTGTCGTTCTGATGACACTGCGGACCTGCAGGTTATTCAACCACATCTCGACCGGATGCAGAAGCTCAGATCACTGTGGAGCGTGGAGGTGGGTGAAAACCTTTTTTTTGTGTCTGTGACGTTTAGTATTCCTCGTTAAAATCTGAAGTTCCACGATGACCTCTTCTGTTTTAAATTCTTTACTTGTAGAATGCTGAACCGGTGTCAGACTCTCATTTCATGGGCCTAGTCCAAAATCTGCTGAGAGATCCCGAAGAGAGAAGAAATTTCTTCATTGTGAGTTAAAACTGAATACGGAGACAATGTGATTGATTGGTGGCAGGTCCTTGTTAATATGATCCCTTTTGAGGAAAAAATAAAATAAAATTGTACGTTTGTATTTGTTGCTTTGAGCAAATGGTTTTTGTAATTTGGCTCTATATAAATAAAACTGAATTGTGTTGTAGGATGTTTTCCCTGGAGACTTTGGTCCCACATATGACAAAGCAATCCAGACACTGATGTGGTTGTTTCTGTCAAGACTGGAAAAGCTTCTTCCAACCAAAACTCTCCAACAGGTAAATGTAATGTCTTATATTGAGCAAAGAGCATTTCTCCTTGTAGTATTAGTTTCTTTAACATTGTTAGTTGTTTTTGTTACCTTTTTTGTGACCTCTTGCATTCAGTTTGCAGCTCTGAGTAGTGAAAGGCTGTACACGTACAATTCAACTCATTTGCCAAAATACTTCATTTTACTTTAATTTATTTGTTATAATAGGTCTATCATCACACAGACAAAGTCCATCTTCACTGTCTGTCATGGCTGCTGGTGATGGTACTTTTCCTTCTCTTGCTCTTGCTATGCAGCCTCAGGGAGCTTAGAGAAGTGACTTTACAAACAGTTCTCAATCTGTTCCAGGGTTATGTTAGACTGACCCTCCAGCTTATAGTAGGTCAACAGAGCAAAACAAGAATATGAACAAAAAAAATAAGAATTGTGTCAAAAGTTTAGAAACTGCAGAGCTTTTGACTCTTATGATTGGTATTTTACTTAAGCCTTTGTTTCATCAGATTGCCTCTCTGCTCAACGACACCTCATCTGTTCTGAATGAATGCATTGGGGCTTTCTCTCAGCCTCAGGAGCTCAAAGTCTTGCTTGACAATCAAAAAGATCTCACCCAATTAGAGGACATTGGTGAGTTGAATATTTTAAAACACGGGATCAGTTCTCAACATGTTGGGGGTTTTTTTTTCCCCCAGAATCTGTTTTATTCATTCATGATTCTTGTTCCTTTCAGAGTCTTTCATCGTTGACAGTGGCATTTTGTCTGCCCTGTGTCTCCCTCCTGTGGAAAGAGTTGTGATTGTCAATGAGCAAACTGAAACGGATGCAGAGAGCAGTCTCGTGTATACTGTCTGCACAGAGATGGAAGTGGAATCTGAGAACAAAGAGGTGTATGTGGAGGGAACTGGGAACTCTGAGGAGTGTGTGCAACCTGAGTGGTTTGGCCTCACTGGTGAGGTAAAACCAGAAATTGATGCAGTGGTAGTTATGGATACTGTGGAAGGCACTGAGGCCAGCGAAAGCGAAATGGCAGAGGACCGCAATGACAACCAATCAGGAACCCTGATCATCGGCGAGGATGGCCAGGTGACTGTGCTGGATGGTGTGGAGAAGAAGCCAAACAGACGTGGGAGAAAAAAGAAACGTCCTGTAGATGAAGACTTTGAAGCGGAAAGTGCAGTGGCAGGCAAAAAAGAAACACCAGAAAGTGACGCACTGTTAGAAAGATCAGTGCGTAAGAACAGAGGGCTCAAGATGAAACGGTACTTATCACAGTGGAGGAAATCTGGGAAGACACCGGGCTCCAGTACGACCAGCAGTGGACCCAAAAAGTTTGCCGGGCCCCAAGGTCCAGCCAAAAGCAACGACTTGGATGAGAGAACCTGTAAAGTCTGCAGCAAGGTGGTGAGTCATGCCAAGTTCTTGCAGCGACACATGAGTCAGCACTCCGAGGAGCTGCCCATTACATGTCCTTCATGCAAGAAGCTTTACAAGAGCTTACGTTCCTTGCAGCAGCACAGATGTGCAAGCATGACAAAGGCAAAGGCTGTTAGGAAAGCCAAGGAGCAAGACACCCCAGCAGACGAAGGCGAACAGTCATCAAGCGGGGTTCCTTGCGATGACACAAATGAAGAGCAGCCAGTTGACAATACCACCCAGGATCCTGATTACTCTCCCCCTGCAGAGAGGGCTTCCAAAGAACCAGGGCAGAAGAGCCCTGAAGAACAGAAGAGTGTGTTAGAGGGTCCATTCTACTGTCCTCACTGCAGTGTCGAGTTCAAGTGCAAACAAACATTTAGGTTCCATTTAAGAAACATTTGCTACAATGAGCAGCAGGTTGATCCTGAGAAGCCTGATGATGTTAAGCATTGTTTCAGGTGTGATGAATGCGACAAGGCGTTCAGATACAAATCAACTTTGGATTCCCACAAACAGACTCACAACCCGCTCTACTGTGAGGTGTGTATGAAACTGGTACGTGACTCAGAAGCATTGGCCATGCACAAAGAATCCCACACACCTTTTCAGTGTAACCGCTGTGAGGAGAACTTCCCAGTGTTCAAGGCCCTTCATAAGCACTACATCGACATCCACAACCCCACCGAGCCATTTA